AGTGATTGAATTTGGAATGGGGAAAAAAAAAAAAGATTGTGAATGAGTGACTTATTTCAGAATAGGAAAAAAAAGATGGTGAGTGAGTGATTTATTTTGGCATRGGGAAAGAAAATACGGTAAATGAGTGATAGTGTATAAATGCTTTAGTGTATTTTTGTGTGGGTGGAAGCCTGAAATTCCTGTTTTTGAGGATTCACATTGTCTTCCCACTGGAATCTCCCAAARTACATTCCAGTGGTTGTAATGCTGCTGCAGAAATGGTGATTTTTCAGTGGGGAACCCCCAAACTCTGCAGTTTTCCACATACAGAAACCCACCTTTTTTGCCAAAGAACAACTTTACATTGGTGCACATTGTTTGGTTTGGAGAAGAACCCTTCTGCATTTGTAACTGGGCATTAGGATGGGTTTGGAGCAGGGAATTGGATGGAGGCTGTGCTGTGGGRTGAGTCCCAGCCCTCCTGAAGAGCCTCCTGCCCATCGTTAGGGCAACGAGGCTTGTTGTGCTTAATGTTCAAACAGAAAATGGCAACGAGATGGCAACAAGGCTCATTGTGCTCTATGTTCAAATGAAAAATGGCCCAACTGAGCTGCCAAGCTGGAACTTTATCTTATTTGGGATCCTTTTCCTTAACCTTTGAATTTTCCAGCAGATCACTGTGTGTTTTTGAAAGCTCAGTAAAAGTGGGGGGTGGTGTTGATAGTTTGATGAAGTCTCTTTTTGGGGGCTTCCCTGGAGCTGAGGGCGGGTGGGGTGGCACTGACCATGGTTGTTTTTTGCAGAATAGGATGGTGAGGGAGGGTGGGTGGTGTGGCACTGACCGTGGCTGGGTGGCACTGTCTGTGGGTGGTGTGGCACTGCCTGTGGCTGGGTGGCACTGCCCATGGCATGGCACTGACCTGTCTGTCCGTTGCAGTACAGGATGGTGATGGAGGGTGGGTGGGTGTTGTGGCAATGCCCGTGGGTGGCACTGACCATGGGTGGTGTGGCACTGTCTGTGGCTGTGTGGCACTGACCATGGCATGGCACTGCCCGTGGCTGTCCTTTGCAGAACAGGATGGTGAGGGAGGGTGGGTGGTGTGGCAGTGACCATGGCTGGCACTGCCTGTGGCTGGGTGGCACTGACCATGGGTGGTGTGGCACTGCCTATGGGTGGCACTGCCCGTGGCTGGCACTGACCATGGCATGGCACTGACCTGGCTGTCCGTTGCAGTACAGGATGGTGACAGAGGGTGGGTGGTGTGGCACTGCCCATGGCTGGCACTGACCTGTCTGTCCGTTGCAGTACAGGATGGTGAAGGAGGGTGAGTGAATGGTGTGGCACTGTCCATGGGTGGCACTGCCCATGACTGGCACTGACCTGGCTGTCCGTTGCAGTACAGGATGGTGAAGGAGGCACTGGAGGAACGTGCCCATCTGCTGCAGAGCGCCCCGCACCTCTCGGCCCCGCTGCCCATCA